ATGATTTTTATATTTATCATAAATGATAGAAATGAGTTTTCTGATTTCAGATTGGAATTGCCCTTGAATCAAGAGTTCGAGGAGAAGTTCAGTACAGTTATTCTGATTTAGCAAGTAATACAGATAAGATTTCGATTCGTGAAAGTCAAGACTCTATAAGTGCAGCTAATATTATTCTTTGGATTTTGATTGTACTATTAGGTGTTTTATTCTTGACTTCGGTACTCATTTTTATTATGCTCCGTAAACGATTTCAGCAGGTATAAATAACAATATAGTTTAAAATAATTTATAAAATAATAATAACAATAAATAATTTTACTAATGTAAGTTTATAGTATTATAAACCATCGAAGAATTATTTATAAATATTTTAGGTGCGCATGCACAGGCTACCTGAGCAGCAGGAACTGACACTTCAAGGTCCAATGTACGAAATAGATAACATGGCTTACATTCCGGAAGATATACCAGAGAGAACGAACCATTATCAAGAATTGAAAAGAAAAGTTTGGAGTATTCCAAGGAGTTTTATAAATTTTGATAATAATCCTGTTCGCAGAGGACGTTTTGGTTCTGTACATATGGGAATAGTTCAAAGGGACACAGTTTCAGTCGATGTATCCGTTCATAAAATATCAGATACTCAACTTAAAGGTTCTGAAAAGAGGTAATATATCAATTTTTAAAAAGTCTTGCCAGCAGAAGTGCCATAAAATAATTAAAATTTCCCCTATAATTGAACTAAAATTATATTTAGCTTTATAACATGTATTATTGTTATTCGCAATATCAGTATAATTCCCGTATTTATAGACAGTTTTGAAATCCATTTCTAAACGAATTTTTTTTATTTCTAATCGAAGTTTCTTATTCCCTATCAAATCCCATTTTTGTATATTAATAAACTATTCATGATTCTTGCAGACTAATGTTACGCGAGCTAGATATGTGCATAAAAGCCGGAAACTCCAAGTATATCGCAAGCCTCGTGGGAAATTGCGAAACCTCAGACACGTTGTTCGTCGCAATGGAGTTGCCTCCTCAGAGCCTGAAGACGCGGTTGCTGGCCGCTCGATCCGGCGAGCACTTTCCCTACGATCAGA